ATATTTTCTAGATTTTTCTAAGTTTTGAATATAAAAATTTTCATGTTAGTGTTAGTATTTAGGGTTAAGGTTAGGGTTTGGAAAGAGTTTTCAGGAAAAGTATTTTTACTTAGGATATCTTGCACTGATTAATTAGCCAGTTTTTGAGATAATATTTATATATACATAGGTGTAAAACACCATAGGTTCGTTTTAGTAAAGTCATTTATATATTATATATGTATTAGAACAATCAAACTATATAATTTTTAAATGAGTGTTGCTAAATTGCCCCCTGGTGACTCTGTAATTTACTAATCAGATCGCAGAATCTTGTATAACAAAATAAGTAAAAGTTTTCAGTATCTAATTTTACATATAAATAATTTATATTCTAACTTAATATAGTCTGTATTCTAACTCTAATCTTTAAAGAATATTTATACAGTATAAAAAATTCTATAAAAATATATAAAAGATGGTTAAAATTTATAATTTTAACCAGGGGTTAAAATTAGTTAAATTCTAAAAACTTTTGCTTAGAAGCAATTATGCTTCAAAATTTGTAAAAGTTTGTGCTTTAAACCTGCTTCATTTTAGCATTTTAACATCCTTAAAAAAAAGGTATCTGATATAGAGAATTACTATTTTTTATATCGAACCATTATAAAACTTTAAAATTTTAGTTCATTATATCGAGAGTTGACTGTATATATATTGGCAACCAATTATTTGCTTATTATTTCGGATAAAAATTTCAGCTCGACCATGCTCACATTTTTATTTTCTCTGAAGTTATATTTTTAGAATGGTGTTTCTATAAAAAATACAAATCCCTACCGCGATATCTTCTATTCATTTCGTGTTTACAACCTGTTTCCATGATTTCTGCGGCATTCCGTGAAATGCAGAAAATCATCGGCCCTGGATTAGCCCAACACTAAAATAATCCCGATATGCTGCGACACATTATTTTTACCAGTGCATAAAACTTTTTTTACTGTTTTACCTGTCGAAAACCATTAAAGCTAAATATGAAAATATACTCTATTACTATATTCTCTACGGAAAACGAAGAGGCAGTAAATTTGGCAGGAGAATATGATCTCTCTGGTTTTGGCTTTTTTCAACGTGGAAGGTTCATATCATAATTTTCAATTGGAATTCTGTTATAAAAGTTACAGCAAACTTAATTCATCTGGTTATTATGTAGTGTTCAAGAATTTATGAAATTTTTCACAAAAACTGTTGCTGAAAGAACAAGACCAGGACAAAGGTTGAGTGTTGAAGAGAACAGTACGTACAACTTTTTATACTTAATTTAAGTTAGTTGGTAATTTTAACTTTTATTTACTTTTCAGATTACATATTTTATTCTTATGTAAGAACTGAAGGCCTTGCTGGAGTCATTATTTGTGATAACGAATATCCACAACGAGTAGCTTTTTCCTTATTGAGTAAAATTCTTGACGAATTTATTGTAAAATTTGCTCGAAATACGTGGCAACCACAAACAATTTCTTATCCTGAGCTTAAAACTTACTTGATAAAATATCAAGATCCAAAAGAAGCTGATCAAATTACAAAAGTTCAGGAACAACTAGATGAAACTAAACAAGTCATGGTATTACAATGTCAATATTTTTTAAAAGTAATTCATCATTTTTAAAAGGGCTAAATTTTTTTTTTTTTACCCATTTTAGAACAAGACGATTGAATCTCTTTTGCAACGTGGTGAAAAACTTGATGACCTTATTGATAGATCTCAAGAAATTTCATTTCAATCAAAAGCATTTTATAAACAAGCGAAAAAGGTTTGTATACTGTTTTATTGTTAACATTTTATAGAGATTTAATATTGATTTTTTTTTTTTTTTTTGCTCAGACGAATAGTTGCTGCATTATTTCATGATTCTTCATATAGTTACATATTTTGTTTTTTTATTATTTATTCCAATATATACTTCAATATCTGGTAATGGTTAGAGTTGGTTGAAATCCAGGATAATTATATAAGATTTCTGATTCACATGCATATCCTAATTAAACTAATCTTTAATAATTTGAAATTGAAAATTTTGTCCTCTAATTCATGATGATTATCGAGTTGAGAGTAATAAAAGTAATATTATTAGAATGCTAATTGGTATATATAAATCTAAATATAAAAATATAATGTTCCATAGTTAAAAGAATACTATATAATTTATACATACAATTCTACAATTTATAACATTACAAAGCGGAATTAGCTTTTTTAGCACTATTTATTGAAGATACTGATCCTATATTTTCGCTCCTATTACGTTCGGATGAACGTTTTTAAGTTTGAAAGAAGTTGAATTTTTAAATTGGTCCCATCTTCTATTAGTTCATCTAGATATCCATAATTCACACGTTCTGAAGAATAACTAGATAATCTTATGATGCTAGATCTTTTAGGATTAAATAATCTTCCAGCTATATTTTGAATTCGATACAATGGGCGATTTTGGTGTACCAACACTATGCTTATCTGCATTCATTGTATTATTATTCAATTTGACCTTCAAATTGAATTAGATATTTTAATTTGATCAACTTACTGATTTGATTGTTGTAATGATGTTTCGTCGATGAAAATGAAGATAGTGTTAGTGTTCCGAATAATCCGAATCCGACGGATTCAGATTATCATCCAATCCGAACCGTAAAATCGGTTTGGACCAAAAGTTTCAACTGCCCGGATTAGGCCAAATTTTGAGATTTGAATATCGATATCGATATATAAATTCTAAGTCGACCATGTCAAAATATTTAGCCATTAAATACTTCGGATTGGCTCCGAAATTTCGGATTCAGTCGGTTTCGGTTCAATCCCAGTTCAAACTGAGTTTTTTAATCCGAATCGGAACACTGGAGGCGATTAAGAAATTTCAGAATCTTTAGTAAAGCAGATTCTAAATTCGGGCATTTACAGAGAGTGCAAATCTTTTCTTGTTTTGTTTGAACCTCTTGAGTTACAGATGCAGTTTCATTTTCCGTTCCAGTCATGTACACTACACTATCATCAATTTCCCAATGATCATGATCTTGGTATTTGTTAAATCTAAATGTGGAAATTGAATTCTTTAACTGACCTATTGAGTACATCTCCGATATGTTTAAGTCCGTGCAAAAAGTTAAGAACCGAAATCACATTTGACAGTTTTATGTTGGATTCTTCGTTATTACCCGCGACAGGTAGTTTCAAGAACAGTGAACCAAGTGATATCTTTGTGTTCATCACATCACATGATTAAACACTCGGCCTAAGTTAGGGTTAGTGTTAGGGTTAGGTGATAGCATAGTTTAGGCCAATTTGTTAGTACTAGTAAACAAATGAAGTCATTTCATGATTTCACATGATGTGATGATCACTGGGTTCATTGTTTTTGAAGTGTCCCCACAATATACTCGAATAAAAAATGTTTTATTAAACTTTTTTTAATCTTTGAAGTAACAAACATTTTTGCAAAAAAAAAAAGAATTATACAGATTTATATATTCTGATTTCTAAACCTTATTTTATAAAACTCAAAAACTGTAGTACAAATATAAAAGAGCATTTTAAGAACTATATTAACTACAGTAATTATTTTTAAAAATTAGCTAATATTAAGAACTATATATAAGTGTAATTATGCTTGTTTGTTTACTTCTATATATATATAATACTGATTAGTCAAATATATATATATATATAATAATCAATTTTTTTTTTTTTTGGCAGTCTTGCTAATACTTTATTAGGCTTTGTAAATTTTAATATTTTAAATACAAAATTTTCAAGTAGCTATTCTATCTAATATCTAAATTACAAACATTAACTTACATAGTTGTTCAGAGAATATCTACTGTATGTGCAATCTGCTATAGTGAGATTTTATCTTATACTAGTTAGCTTTATTTTAGGCTAGCTAATATACTGTATTACAGAATAGTTCTCATGGCCTGTTAAGATTGCTGTCTAATCTTTTCACTATTTTGAATACTGTCCTTTTTTAATCCAAACTTCTAGCTCTTTTTTTGTTAGTATATATTAATATCTTATCTCAATATTCATTTTTCTTTTCTCTGTTAATTTTTATCTCTATATTTTTCTTTTTTTTTTTCTTGCTTTTTTTCTGTTTTTTTTTAGAACTTTAAGTTTTTTTTTGAATTTCTCCTCTTTTCTCTCTTGCTTCTTTTCTTACTTCTAAACAAGCTTGTATCTTGCTATCTATATTTTCTCATAAATCAATTTTATTCAAGTTTTCTACAATGTTGTTACAAAAGTTGTTGTTTGTTAGTTTGAATTAAATAATATTTGTAATTCTTGAAAATCTTTAATAGTAATAAGACCACATATCCAATACTCTTTTCTTCTTAGTTTATTATTTGTATTACTTTTTTCTAGTATTACAAGAACTTCTTTTTTTATACTTTCTATATTTTCTAGTTTCTCTATTTCTTTTAAGCTATTTTCTACTATTATCTTCTCTATGTTTCTTATTAATTGTATAGAGGTTTTGCAACTTACTATGTGCTTAGTTGATTCTATTTTCTCTTTACATATTACACATACTGCAAACTTGTATATATTTAGTTTTCTTTAATTGAGAGTTTTTAAAACTGGTAATAGGTTGTTTATATATTTTAGTTCAAATAGCTAGAGCATATTTGTTTTTTTGTATATAGTTTTGAAGTTTTTTTTTACCTTCTAAAATCTTATGAAAGCTTAGCCAATACTGCATTGTTTTTCTTTTTTTATATGTCAAGTTTTGTTCATTATATATATATAACTACTCTATTTTGTTAATTATACTACTTAGAAATATATAAATTGGTCTTTTTACTACTTTATTTTCCCATTTTTTGTACTTTATTGCTAAGAGCTGCTGGGTTTATATATTCTGCTATATTTGTCTCTTTTTTGGCTTTTATGTCTGTTAGATTATTAAAAGAATCTTCTAAGTAGTTTTTAATCTTTGTTAATTTTAATTTAATAAGTTTTGTTTTAACTATTTCTACTATTAATACTGTTACAATGCTATAGCCTTCTTAGTGTAAATATAGCAAAGTAACAAGGTTACCCGGTGCAGTGATATACTTTATGAATATACACGGGGTGGACATGAAGTATATACTTTAACTTCACAGCAGGAGGCAAATGGTTTAAGATTATAACAGTATATAGATAATAATATTTATTAATGACAGGTTCATGATGATAACCTTGCCTGTAGGAATTATCCTAGAGGGGGAATATCACACTTTACAAGTAGAGAAGGGTAAAGAGGTGGGGCTAGATTCTATAAGAGAGTAGTAAACTCTCTATAAGAGTAACCAAACTCTCTGTGAGAGTATAGGAACTCTCTTTGAAAGTAATGAAACTCTATATAAGAGTATATGAACTCTAACTTGGATAGAAAGGGCAAAGGCTCTCTTTTTATAACTTTTCTACAGATAGAAGTATAATGGTATAATTGCTATATCATGTAGAGGTACTTAAAGGCACTTTGTGTGGAGGCACTCAGAGGCACTTTGTATAGAGGTACTCGGGGGCACTTTGTGTAGAGGCACTCAAAGGTACTTTGTGTAGAGGCACTCAGAGGCACTTTGTGTAGAGTACTATTTTACTTAGCCACAGTATTACTGTGCTATATTATTTTACCCAATAGAGTCTCTTCTATACTAAATATAATTAACTATAACTAATAATATAATAATAATATAATGATAACTATAATGCTATAATATAATAATATAATAATACAATAATAAAATATTTTCTATACTATGCTACGCTAGTATTACTCTGTGTTACAACCTACTTTGTAACAATACTACTAAATTGCTATTTACAATTCTAAGCCAATCTCTTACTTTGTCTATTTCTAGACCTTTTTAAATATCTTGAATTACCACTTTGCTATCTATTTTAACTTTAACTTCCTTTTTGTTAAATGTTATCATCAGAGCTATTAGAATAGCAACTAGCTCTACTCTAGTTGACAAATATCATTTTTTGGTTACAAGTGCAAGTTGTTATAATATTTGTCCTTCTTCTGACATCTATATAATATCACAATATATTTTTATTTTTTTTGTATTCTCTATTTTGCTAAATAAGCCATTAGTGTAAAATGTTAATTTATCTATCTCTTTATTTTTTTCAATTAAATCTATTAAGTTAACTCTAATTCTATTACTATTTACTATTTTATTTACAATATAAGCTTTTTAACTTTTGCTTTTAATCTCAACTCTTTTGCTATTTTTAATTTTTTGTAATTCTTTTACTAATACCTGTATTCTACTTTTTTTCTTTGTATTACTTTTTGCAAGGATTTGTATACTAAAAATAGACTTAGTACTTTCTTTTGTATTTTGTATCAAGTTTGTTATATTAGTTAAGCCCTACTTTTTAACTTTGAACATGGTCTAGTTTAGATTTTGTTTAAGTACTCTTTGTTTTCTATTCATATCTATATTTTCTACTTCTATATAGCTTTTTACTTTTACATATTTTTTTTTTCTCTCTTTTATCTTTCTGATTTCTATATCTTGGCTATTTTTATTTTTCCACATCATCTATTTTTTAAATCTTTTATCTTGCTTAACTTCTCTTAAAGATGGTCTTAATACCTATATGTTTTCTATCAAAATTATATACCTTGCTTTAACTTTTCGAGTTTTAGCATCTAGAATTAGCTCATTTTCAAGTTCACTAAACTATCTTAGTTTTTTTTTTCTCATATTATCTGCATATACTGCTTTGATTTGTTTTCATATTCCCAATATTTCACTATCTTCTAGCCGTAACTAGACTATAGACCAGAGCTCTAGTTTGCTTGCATTTGTTGTTTTATATTGTATTTGTTTCTTTTCTAGTATTTTTGTAACTTCTATATTTTCAAAAAGTCTTATGTTTTTAATATTCTAACTTTTTAGCACTTTGTTCGCTTCTATTTTAAAATTTAATTCTTTAGCTTGCTATAATATTTAGATTTCTAGGTTTCTTATTTTTGTTTTGTACTTTTTTAATGTTTCTTGTCTTGAATAAAATTTAGAGTTAGGATGTATTTTTATGAATTTTTTTTTATATATATATTATAAAATATATTATAGCAAATATAGTATAAAGTTCTAAATTTAGTTTTTATGAGATTTTGGAGATCCTGAACATTTTTATTTAGAATACCTGATTCTATTTACTTAGTATATTTTTGAAAAATAGAGATCTATGATGTTGAACATCATAGGTACATTTTAATAAACTTGTTATAAAGATATATGTATAATTTTGTTATAAAATTTAATAAATAAATAAATAATTATAAGCTAATTTAATATAATTTTTTATTTTTTATAATAAATACAATAAGAAAAAATAATAACCTGTTGAATTTTTAGTTTTAAGATACCAATTTAAAATATTGTTAGTTATTTTTATATAAAAATCTTAGTTTAAATTAATAATATATCTACTATATTTTAAAAACAAGTAGTCTATAATTAGAAAATGTCGGGGATGATGCTGAAATTGGCTGATGCTAAAATTTAGAGTCCCTATTTAAATCTATAATACCTACTAAAATTCACATATACATTTTTACTAACAACGCTAGCCCTAAATTCTAACCTAACCCTAAAAAAAACCCTAAAAAAAAGGCCCAAAAATTTTTTAAAATTTCATAATAAAATAGCTCGAAATTTCAGCATCATCTGATTTCAGCATCATCCCCGACAGAAAATATAGTATAGCAAAAAAATTTAGTATATTAGTAATAATAATATCCTGATTTGTTGGGTATTAGCGGGGCTGAAAGTCCCACTAATTTACATATGGTTAGGGTATTATTAATTAATACTCCCATGATCTTGAATAGTGATCAGGGTATTATCTAACAAATTTTATACCAAAATGCTATTCTAATATATCAATAGCATAGCATTATATTAACTTATTTAAAACCTCTAGACAATTTACAAATTTTAAAATTTTTTAGCAACTTTACTATATTTTATATTTATCAACTATTTATTATTTTAAAATTTTTAAAAATAAATATATATAATATAATCGTTTATAAAAAAAAACTCTTTCCGTAGATCCTTAGTACAAAAAA